TTGATGAATGAGACAAGTCTAGTTCCCAAATACTCACTCTTCCAACTATACCATGATTCTAAAAATACTTGAGTGCTCTACCAATAAAGCTTTACCAATAAAGAGCACATGCTTATATGAGTTCAGCATCTGAACCCTAGTTTTGTTGTTCACCACTTTACGTAAAAATTATGGTCACATTTAATTTTGATAATTCTACCAAATCCTGCTGACAAGCCCAATCCTCAGAGCAACTTCAATTTTGAGTTTCAGTATAAAACTATTAAAAGTAACTGATCTATCTACTGTAGTATTTGTATTTCTATTATCAAATAAAATATCTCCCTTTATATATTTGATGGTATACACTCTTATTAAATTAGTCATACAAATGTCCATAAAAGTCTGTTATTTAATAGATGTTTACATGCATGTTTAAATTATGAATGATCACATTATTTCTAGCTGTTGCAGATTCTCTCTGTTTTGTGGAGACTGTTACAAAAATGCACAAAGCTGTTTTATTTAGTTTTTCCATCATTGTAAAAAAAATTGCCAGGAGTTTTATTTTTAAATAAAACATTCACTTTCAACAGACTTCATTTAAAAAGAAAAGGAAAATCAAAAACATAAAAGAGTTCCCAATAACTTTACAAAGAATTTCAGATTTGCAAAACACACTCCATATATTTCCATGATCAACATAACCATCAAGCTATTTAAACAAACAAATGCTATGTTGTTCTATGTTTACATGGTTATCGTCCTTCTTATAAAAATTGAAATTCTCCATAAGAACCACAGCTATTAATGCGTGTATAAAACAGTTGGCAATTGAGCACATATTCCAGAATTCTTCTTTGATAAATCTAGACTAGCTGTCATTTGTACAACCACTTTAAATCTAAACACAGAAGCCGCTGTACCTCTCGTTTCTTATGTTCTCGTTTCTAATGTTCTTTTGAAAACATTACTGGATCTGTTCCCCTGTCATGTAAAACAAGACAAGGTAAAAGAAACTGCTTGCTAAAATGCACAACAGAAACTGCAGAAGATTATAGATATTTCATTCAAGCAGAACTAAAGTGTATTTTATCCAAAGGAGTCCATGTTGGAAATGTCTAAGCATTTATATTTACAGTGGTGAAAAATAAGCCATTAAAATTAAATTAGTTAAAAAAAAAATCTAAGATTCCATCAAGGGCCAAATTAGAAGTTAGTTTTAAAATGAATTTTATATGAGATTCCCATTAACAGGGACCAGATCAGCCCATCCGCCAGGACCCCCTCAGGCCCCGAGGGAGGCGCACCCAGGCCTAGGGTCAGTGAGGATCTAGTCGGGGAACTTCTGGAGGGACTGGACGTATTTAAATCAGCTGATTCTGACGACCTGCATCCCAGAGTGCTGAGGGAATTAGCAGAGGTCATTGCAGGACCCCTGGCATGGCTTTATGAGCACTCGTGGTGCTCTGGTGTGGTGCCAGAGGACTGGAAAAGGGCCAATGTGATTCCCATTTTCAAAAAAGGGAGGAAGGAGGACGCAGGGAACTATAGGCCAGTTAGTCTTATCTTGATCCGGGGTAAGCTTTTTAGAGAATTATCCTGGCGTATGTCCACGAGGGGCCAGCAGGGAAGGTTAGGCTTAGGAGCAACCAAAACGGGTTCATTAGAGACAGGTCCTGTCAGACCAACCTGGTGGCCTTCTATGACCAGGTCACCAAATCCTTAGATGCAGGGGTAGCAGTGGACATAGTCTTTCTGGACTTCAGAAAGGCCTTCAACACTGTCTCTCACCCCATTCTCATTAAAAAACTAGGGGACTGTGGTGTCGACACCTACATAGTCAGATGGGTCGCTAACTGGCTGGAGGGCCGCACACAGAGAGTGGTGGTGGATGGGTCATTTTCGACCTGGAGGGATGTGGGTAGTGGAGCCCCCCAGGGCTTGGTCCTCGAACCCGCACTGTTCAACATCTTCATCAGTGACTTGAACGAGGGGGTAAAAAGCACCCTATTCAAATTTGCTGATGACACTAAGATGTGGGGGGATGTGGGCACGCTAGAAGGGAGGAATAGGCTGCAGTTGGACCTAGACAGGTTATGGGGTGGGCAGATGAGAACAGGATGGGTTTCAACACTGACAAGTGCAAGGTGCTGCACCTGGGGAGGAAGAACCAGCAGCATACCTGCAGGCTGGGGAACTCCCTTCTCGTCAGTGCAGAGGCAGAAAAGGATCTTGGAATCATTATTGATGATGTGCAGTTCTGGGCGCTGCACTTCAGGAGGGATGTGGACAGCATTGAGACAGTCCAGAGGAGGGCCACCCACATGATCAGGGGGCAGCAGGGCAGGCCCTATAAGGAGAGGCTAAGGAACCTTAACCTGTTCAGCCTCCACAAGAGAAGGCTGAGGGATCTAGTGGCCTGTTACTAACTAGTCAGGGGGGACCAGCAGGCATTGGGGGAGTCCCTGTTCCCCCAAGCACTACCAGGAGTGACTAGAAATAATGGTCACAAGCTAGCAGAGGGTAGATTTAGACTAGATATCAGGAGGCACTACTTCACAGTCAGGGCGGCTAGGATCTGGAACCAAGTTCCAAGAGAAGTGGTGCTGGCTCCTACCCTGGGGGTCTTTAAGAGTAGGCTGGATGATCACCTTGCCGGGGTCGTTTGACCCAGTGCTCTTTCCTGCCATGGCAGGGGGTCAGACTTGATGGTCTGTCAAGGTCCCTTCCAACCCTACAAATTATGAAACTATGAAACAGCTGCAATTTAACATTCTTCATTTTTTGTAGTCTGGCAGATGTCATGCAAATGCACACTGGAGCAACTCGTCAGTTGGTGTAAATCAGCATAGCTCTACTGAAGCAGAGAGAATTATACTGAGTTGCACCAGCAGAAGATCCGGCACATTAATTTTCTCACTTAGTTGGCCTAGGCAATCCAGCTCGTTCTCGTGCCTTTCCTGCTGTCATCATTTTAGCCTAGTTTTTACACACACTCCAAATTGCAAAGAAAAGTATCATGAATTTCCATGAGCTCCGAAACAAAATTGCTATTTTATATTGACAGACTGTGCTTTATAAAATGAGCTTCTAGACCAGTGGTTTTAAGAATTCCAATCACAAGTTTGTGTACAGCATCCAAAATTAACTAAAATTGGTTCTTTATGAAAAGGACTATATGAGGAACAATAGCCAAATTGGAGCAATAGCAATACCCTCTGAAGTTGAAGCCAGCTCTTCAAAGGTAGATGCTTAAGAAACAATTGCATTGAAGAACATGTTACTGCATTGCAGGTTCAAGATCGAAGTATTGATTCAGGCTTGATCAGTTTATGAAAAGGATTATATGATGTGGTTATTTGCATCTTACTGTATGCAAGTAAATTGCTGATCTGCAACCGAGAACATGAGGCTGCATGAGAGGTGCTAAATAAAATTTTGATACCATTTTAAATTCTAACAAGTTACGGTTTCATCAGCTTCCCTAACATTGGATACATAGTGATATTTACCCAGCAGATGCTGCAACTTTTTATGTTTCTTCCATTTTTTAACTGTACGTCATGCTAAAAGGGCCCTGTGTTTAAGAAGTTTAATAAATAATTGTGTTTTCGACCATTAAGGAAATCTGAAATACTCTGTCTTAAATGAACTATAAGTTTGTGTGTAACAGTCAGCCCCCTTGGGAACTGGATACATGTGCAATAAATACAATACAATGTGACAATAAAAACAAGATTAATGATCATTCATAAAATGAATAATGTTTTTCTCTTAAAGAAATATTCCAGTGGGACAATATAGATGCTAACTAAAAATATGTGAGGAAATCTAATGCTAAAAATGGATAAATGTGCAGCCACTGAAATAATTTGGTGAAGTGAACCTTCTTCTTTGGATGTTATTGTTTGCATGTTAATTCACAAGAAAATGAAACAGCTCTAATGCTTACACAATGTGATCCATAGATGGCCATAATTATAGTAATTATGTCTCGCAATATAGTTATAATTGATATTTCATAGCAAAGTTCCTAATTAGGAAAGTAGGCCTTTGGAAAATGATTAAAAATAATTAAAGTCCTGAGCCTTCCAAGGCTTGTTAGAGATAGAATCTATTATTTGTACTTTTAAAAGCATGCCAAAAATAATCTAGAGATGGATAGTTATATGCATATTATTGTGCATTAAATGATAACTCTTCTTCCTGTATGAAAGTTTCTAATCCTAGGTAATGGTTAAATCGGGGTAGGTTCTCTTGAAATGGGCATTAGCCTTTGTAGCTTGGTCTGGGGAGTACTTAATCTTCAATGTTTGAAGAAGCAAATGCAAGGAAGAAAAATGTATTTAACATATAGTAGAGGAAATAGAGAGGAAATAGACTCAAAATGGGTGATACCTTGTGATTATGACCGATTCAGCATGGGGAAAGGTGATGGGCTGGCTTTTTTTTTTTATATCAATATAGATGAGCCTGATAGATGGCCCGCTGACTTCAGTGGACTTTGGATCAGGCTGTTTGCCTCCAAAAGCTCACCTGATTTTCTGATTTCCTGCTTTTTAAATGCCTAGAGTAACACACATGAAGCGCCCAGAGTAACTGGGCTTATGCTGTTGCAGTTTTTTTCTATAACTAAAAAGCATCTTTTTATATAAAAAAGGACTGGACTCATAGACCTGTCCCACGCACCAAAGCCAGCACACACAGATGGTCTGGAGTGGGTACCTCATGCAGTGCACATGCCAGCCCTATGTGCCATGTGCAACACACGTCAGCTGCAGTCTGGGGCTCACACACAGAGCCATCAAGGAGCTCATGCTACATGAGGTGTCCACACCAAACCAGTTCCACACATCACTTGCGGTGCATGGAACTGGGGCCAGCATGTACCATATGCAGTGGGCAGGGTCGATCCAAGACTGACAGATCAAATCTGGTCCACCGGCTATAGATTTGACACCCCGATGTTTTGGATTCCGAAGCAGACATTTAATTTTGTGTGGTTTTGTGTGTTTTAGGACAAGTTGCATCCAAGAAATCTAATTCCAGACCTCTGTAGACAGTTCTATCAATTAGGCTGGGTCACAGGAACTGGGGGAGGAATCAGCTTGAAACATGGGTAAGTATGCAGGTTTGAGGAGTGCTAGTGCAAACGATGAATTGTTTTGATGCGTTACAGTTCCATGAAGGATGGCTAATAGTCAAACGTAAGGCGTTATATATTTAGGTGTGTTGCAGGTGCGACATTGTTGGTGCCCAAGAAGGAAGTCTCTATTCTTGTAGGATAACTACTAAAAGTGTATCCATAGCAGATAATAAAATCAGGATAGCAACACAAAAACGGTAAAAATAATATTGATGCATATGCAATACAAAAGAGTACTGCTTTGGGGATAGACGCACACAACGCTTAAAACAATTTAAAAGTAGTTTAAACTTGAAGCAGACAGACATACATAATAAGTCTGTTAAACTGATTTCAGTCCCTGAAAAATGTACCTGGAATATCAAGTGCTATTTTGAAACAGTTCAATCTGAACTGATTCAGTGTTGTTTGTGGCTATCAAGTGGTCTGTGACATAGGCCTGGTCAGTCCTCTAGGCATCCCACACTGCACTGCCACTCATCCCCCACAAACACACTGCTGCAATTGGCTATTTTGGTATGCAGTTAGAACTCTGCTGTCCCCCTTTCCTTTTGTAGGTGCTTTTTATCCACAAGCTGCCTTGCACTGCTTGTCATATAGAAGCTATTTTTCTAACAGCCAGCTGTGTCTTTATTCCCTACTCACTGCAGCCTAGCATCATCCCCCACATCAGCCCCAGGGAACCCAAAAGCATGGGTCCAAGCATTTCCCACCCCCATCCACCCAAGACAGGAAAGCACACTTTTGGTCAATTTCAAACTATTGCAGTTTAATAAACTCATGTTTAGGGGAGAAGGGAAAGCAGAAAAGTGTAAAGGTCCCCAGCCACAGGTCACCCATCATGGAGTCCCCAAAGTATGGGTGCTAGTATTCTATCCCACTCCTTGCCCACTGTGAGGCCTGCTGGGCTGGGCACTCACTCCTGCCCCCTGGTGTTGTAGCCGCAGCACTTCACACAATTGTGAACTGGTTCCCAATCAGTGACATTTTGGAACAGTTCAATTATGTGCGTCTGTACCTTTGTCTGCTCTTGCATTTTCCCTGAAATATACCATCAGCTATTCCAGTTGCATTAGTTTGAAAATCTTCATGGATGCAGAGCTCCTCTTAGTGGCTACTGAAGGAAGAAAATACCAGTAGTAAATAAACCACAGAAGCAGGATAAACTTGATCTTAACCGGCAAAGTAGCAAAACTATGGACACTTTGCAGTGCCTGATATCTCACCCTTCCACATGGCCATGTTGCTGTCCAAGCACCTGGTATGAAGTCAAGCCTCCAAATTCTAAGTCTGAGGCTGAAACTTGACTACATCTGCGCCTGGCTACATTTCATTTCAACTCTGTCTTATTTTCCATCAGCAAAACAGTAACAGTAGTTTCAGAGGGAGGTTATGGGCGTTAATTATTGTTTTTACAAGTTGTTTGAAGTTAAGAGATCGGTATAGTTCTGATCAGTAACAAAATATGAAGTGCTTTCTTTTGTTGCTATATGGTTGGAGCTGGCTACATCTGAGATTAAGTAGTAAGAGCAGTTATAAGATAATTTAGGATTCTGATCAGCAGTTCTTCATTTACATATTGGCTCACAGAATACAATGGTACAGTACATTTGAATGTGTACCCATACATCTCACCTAGCACAGAAGTATGACAGTTATTTCTGTACCTATAATAGCAGTAACGATTCTTAAGCAAATAGCAATGCACCAAAGAGATAGGAGGCTTAGAAAATTCCAAGATAGGTAGAATCTGAGTGACAACATTCAACTGTAATTCCAGGGTTTCATCTTAAGCAACCAATCCTAATGAGCATTGTTCACTAGAGACATCCTGTGAACTGTAAAAATAAATTCACCTGTTTGGGAATAGGACAGTTTATAAAACATCCATAATTGTTTGTCAAATCTTACATTTTAGAGACCCTGTGCCATGGTCAGTTTCTCATTAACTGTTTAATTATAGAAGAAGGTTGTATATGCATATTCTGTTTAACTAGCAATCAATTTATAATTTGATTGCTTGATACAAAACTTAGGTGCCTTGCTTACAGAAAGGTATAAAATAATTAATTTGGTTTTATTAGTACTAATGCATCAAAATTAAAATTTGTTGAAACTCCATGTTATATTTCACAAAAAACATGGTTTATCTACATTCAAAATACACCAGAGAAAGTACTTTGACTCTTGTTAGACAAATGCAAATACTTCACTTTCCTTATGAAACTGATCCAGCCTTTGTTCTGAACAGGTTATGTATCTGTAGCTTGACTAATCATTCACTAGATGTCTCTATACTACCTATTTAAAATGTGTCCTTTGAAGCTGAACAGTTCTTACAGATATGACAAGAAACCCTTATGGCCTTCATTGGAAATGTTTCACATGGCATTTTAAATCACTCTAAATGCATATAAAGATTTGTTCAAGTTATTTATTCACATAAGCCATGCACCACAACCTTCATTTCTAGTCAAACTTAAAATTATTCTTTTATACTGAATTATTCAACATGTTTTTCAATACAAGTTAAAAATTCATACATTTAAGAAAACTAAGGTCATGTTGTTATACAGATCAAAGTATTTACCAATAAGTGTATTTACTGTGTAGAATGGTAAGGACAGTTACAAACACTAATAGCTAATTTTAAAGATTTGTCAAATATAGGTTTCTCACTGTTTTTCTTGAATTGCTAAGTGTCCCATTTTGAGGAATGCGGATTTTGCAACCAATGTATGCATTGGGGTAGGGATCTTAGATTTTCGGTTGGTGGGAAGGGAGATGCTGGACATGAGTGTATGTCTTTCAAAAACAAAGTATGACATTTCTAGGCAATTTTAGAAGGTTGTTTATGTCTTGGCTAGTCTCAAACCGTCCACCTGCTAAGGAAGGCCAGGAATAGCATTTTGAAAACTTTGTGTGTAAATGTTAGGCAGGAAAAATGTTACTGCATTATTATGCAAGTTAATTATTAACAAGGGAGAATACTAAAATTACCCTTACAATTCCATATCCTTTAAAAATGTATCTTTTACATGGAGCTAAAATAGTCTATGTTTTTTTCCTAGTGATGACATCTATATTGCTCCATCAGGAGTGCAGAAGGAAAGAATTCAGGTGGGTAAAACTGCTGTTTTTACTTTGGTTCCTGAAAAGGAACAAAATCATCTTAAATGATTAATTCTAAGCTTTCTTTCAAAGCAGTTTTGAATTGTACATACCATTGATTAGCCTCATGAGACCACTAGATTTCAGTGGGCACGTCTACACGTGCCTTAATACACTGTAATTACGGCACATTTAGTTTACTACCTGTAATAACAGGTACAGACTAAATATGCCATAATCAGCGCTACTGCACATTAGTGCCAACCCAGAGTTTTTAAGTGACAGTAATGTGCAGTAGATTAATTCTACTGCGTATTAGCACATTAACATGTTTTTTCGTGTCACGCTAATGCACAGTAGAATTAATCTACTGTGCCATTAGCATTTCATGCAGATACACCCAATTAGTATTTACATGTTCTTAAAGTAGCAATGCAGTACTTGTTTCAGTGCCCTACATAGGACAAGGGAGAAGAGATTGATGTCATATATCTTGACTTCAAAAAAGCCTTCGATCTGGTATCCCATGATCACCTCTTGGCGAAACTGGCCAATTGTGGCCTTGGGTCCACCACGATCCGCTGGCTGGGAAATTGGCTCCATGGTCGGACCCATAGGGTAGTAATTGATGGAAATCAATCATCGTGGTGCCCTGTGACCAGTGGGATCCCCCAAGGCACTGTCCTTCGACCCATATTGTTCAACATCTTCATTAATGATGTGGACATTGGAGTCAGCAGCAGCCTGGCCAAGTTTGCCAATGACACCAAACTTTGGGGCAAAGCATCCACACCAGAAGACAGGGGGGCGATCCAGGCTGACCTGGACAGGCTCAGGAAAGATGGACGGACTAGAACCTGATGGTGTTTAACACCGAAAAATGCAAGGTTCTCCACCTTGGGAGGAAAAACCTACAGCATCCTTATAGGCTCAGCAGTGCTACACTGGCTAGCACTACGGAAGAAAGAGACTTGGGGGTCATCATTGACCACAAGATGAACATGAGCCTGCAATGCGATGCTGCAGCTACTAAAGCGACCAAAACGCTGGCTTGCATCCATAGATGCTTCTCAAGCAAATCCTGGGACGTCATACTCAGCCTTGGTGAGGCCACAGCCGGAGTACTGCATCCAGTTTTGAGCTCCACAATTAAAAAAGGATGGAGAAGCTTGAGAGAGTCCAGAGAAGAGCCACGCGCATGATCAGAGGTCAGGAAAACAGACCTTACAACGAAAGGCTGAGAGCCATGGGACTCTTTAGCCTGGAAGAGCGCAGGCTCAGGGGTGATCTGATGGCCACCTATAAGTTTATCAGGGGTGACCACCAGTATCTGGGGGAACATTTGTTCACCAGAGCACCCCAAGGGATAACAAGGTCGAACAGTTATAAACTACTGCAAGACCGTTTCAGGCTGGACATAAAGAAGAATTTCTTTACTGTATGAGCCCCCAACGTCTGGAACAGCCTGCCATCGGAGGTGGTTCAAGCACCTACATTGAACACCTTCAAGAGTAAATTGGATACTTATCTTGCTGGGATCCTATGACCCTAGCTGACTTCCTGCCCTTTGGATGTGGGGCTGGACTCGATGATCTTCCGAGGTCCCTTCCAGCCCTAATGTCTATGAAATCCATGACCCAAACCTAACCAAATCATTTGACAGCGGCTGCTGGAAACAGTGATACAACCCTGACCTTATATTCACCAGCAAAACTGTTACTGGGCTAGGTAATAAAATGGTATTAGACCCTATCCCACATTCCCAACATCAACCAATTGGCATTCAGATTAAAGCACAGTAACACCTATAACAGTGTCATTTTGCCAATGTTTCAACCTTAAAAAGGAAAACTGAAGGCTTTTCAGAATACCTTGATGTCAAAACTATCAAAACATTGCCTGAGAACTGCGACCGGTTCATAAAAGCTGTACAGAAATCTGCAAGGAAGAACATCCATGGGGCTGCCTGCCACATGAATTACATCCCAGGCCTCACTCCTCAAACCACTGGCTTATACATAGACTACAGGTGACAGTATGAGCTAGACCCTTTTTAAGCAAACACCATCACTACAAGCGAGCTCATGTTAACCATCACAGAAAAAAAAAAAAAAATCAGGAAATCCTGGCAGACTTTGATCGAGTCAACTGATATAATACATAATAGTACAAAGGTATGGGGTACTATACATAAACTAAGCAATGACCCATGAAAGGTATATCAACATCATAATGTCACTGCTAACCAAATTGTTCACCAGATGCTTCTCAATGGAAAAAGCACAAAAACAAACAAACAAACAAAAACTCAGACTGGAAAGGTACAAGTACACCAAAGACCTGGGTTTTACAAGCCTCTTCTCAATGACGGAGCTGAATGCTAGTATTAACACAGTGAAGACTGGGAGAGCAGCCAGCCTAGACAACATATGTACTGAACAAATCAAGCAATTCAGCCCCCAGACTCAAGAATGGCTCCTTTGTGTATACAGCTCATGCACAGCTGGTAAAAAAAATCCAAAAATATGGCAACATGCTCAGATAGTGGCACTTCTAAAGATAGGGAAATATCCAGCTGATCCAAAGAGCTTCAGACCTCTCTCTCTGCTATGCCACACTGTGACAAAAGGTGCCTTTCAGGCCCTTGTCTCTGGGCAAACCACCCACCTTTTTCACCTGCCACACCTGGATCACTAATTGTGATGTTAAATAGATGAGATGCTGCCCTTTGTGCACCCAAATGAGTGTAGGCGATGAGTATACGTTCCTACCACCCCTTCATGTATCACATGCCTCGCTGATGTCTCACTGTGTGATGATACTCCGGCTCAAGGCCAGGCCAGATTGGGCACACAGTTGGATCTTTAGCACGTTGCCCACTTTGGGGCTACACACACACCACCCCCCTCTTACCGGGGCCTCTCACACTCCATCAGCTCTCACTCAGTCTCTTGCATACTGCCTATCCAGGCAACACTCACTCCACTCTACTCCATGGAGATCCTCAGGCTTCTCTACACCCCTCAGCCAGCCCTGATGTGGTCTTTTGGGCCTCTCCCATGACCCTGACCTGAACAGGACTAAGCAATTACTCAACTTTGGGCCTACTTTGCCCCTGGCCCCTCACTGGACCACTACGCCCCTCTCTTAGGCCACAACTCCACCCCTTTTCCCTAGGGCCTGGGGTCTTCCACCCCTTAGGGCTCAGCTGCTCCTGAGCTTAACTGGCCCCACAACTCCACCCTGAAACTGTCAGGGCCCAGGGTCTTACATCCCCTTGGGCTCAGGTGCTGATTATTCAGTGTGCCTGCCTCCCACTCCAGGGTCCAGCACCACATAGGGCTCAGGTGCTTCTCAATAAGCTTATCTGGCCCCCTCTCTCCTGGTAACCCACCCAAAGGCAAGGGCAGGGATTTAGGTGCCCCGACCTGCCTTACACCAGGTATGTTCTCGGTCCTGGTACTTGAGTGGCCTTGCCCCGCCACAGGCAGGACCACCAGGCCTCCCTATTCTGGCAGGGTATAGTTTTAGGTCATGCCTAGGACCGTTGAGCCCTCCTCCTTCCCCATAGCCTCACCCTTACCTCCAAGATATTCCTGGAACAGGAGCTCCACCAGGCAATGTTACTCACAGATCCTGCTGA